AAGCCTAGCTATAGAACACAGCAAATCTGGGCACCTGGATTTTGGGTTTTTGGCTTAATACTGTTGCTATGTTCCTGGCCTTAGTTTTCTTCTTAAAGTTGAGTGAATGGATACATTTAGATTCCTGGGTCACAAGTCAGTGCTTCCCTTTTATCCCTACCCGTGCACTCAGTATGGCCCCTTCTTCACAAGGATCCTGTGCCCAGAAGGCATTGCTTGGGTAGGCATTATATTCCCATCTGTGTCAGAGGTAAAGTGAGAAGGGAAATGAGCTAATTGGTGTGAAAATGCTCTGCACTTTTAGAAAGTAGCTAAGAAACCCAATCCTGGGAGAATGATGGGGGATCTTGAGTGGCCCAAATGCCAGGGCTCCTGATTTCACCATGGCCTGGGAGCCAAGGCCTCAGGAGTGAGGCTTCCCCTTCACCACCTCAGTGCCCTCCTCTGCAGTAGCACTGATAGCAACATACAACACACTCCTGATGCAGGTCTAGTCACTAGCCCTGGTGTCAATTTCATTGGTCTGTATCTTTGCAGTATGAGAATCTTGTCTTATCAAGCAGATCATGTACTTCTCATGGACAGGGACTGTGCATGGCCAGGTGCCAGACCCACCAGGCCCACAGACCCTGTTGCTGAACAGTTGAGCATGGAGCAGTGGGAAGAGAACTTGGAGGTGTATAGATCTAAGTTTGGATCTCAGCTCAGAGGGTCAGTTTCTGTATCTGTGAAATGGGTGTCCTCTTTCAAATGAGTACTTCACGTAGGTCCTTCTAGAAGCAAACACTGAGATGGAGTGAAATGAAAGGCTTATTGGGAATAATACTTATGTTAGGAAAAGAAAGGAGGCAGAAGTGGGTAGGGGGACCCAACAGAGCTGACAAAGTCACAGGGTCCCTGCCAGCCTTATGGGGTGCTCTGGAGTGAAGACTGTCTGTTAGAGGAATCCCGTGAGGGTGGAAATAGCCAGAACCTTGCTCCATTGCCTTGCTTGATCATTGGCCCAAAGGTAACCCCAAGAAGAGCTTGATGTTGGCTTGACAGCTGAGGCCACCCTGAAGGAGCTAACAGCTGGAGGCTGTCAACTAACCACTCTTTCTTGCAGCTTGAACTGAATCCTTTTTTAAAGGTGCATCTCCATGTCTGCCTTCAGAAAACAACATAGTTCAGCACAGAGTGAGTACTCAGTACATATCAATTTCTTTCTTTTGCTTTGCAGCCAGACACACCTAGTCTCGAATTCCAGATTTCTGACTTACTGTGTGGCCTGGGCAAACATGATCAAGGAAATTACCATCCTCCAGTTTTACTTGATTACCCAACCTGGATCATGACTCAGTGATATTCACGTGTGAAATGGGGAGAATGATATGCACTTCACAGGGTAATAGGGGCATACACAGGACCTGGTACTCTAGTTACAAGTCTTTTTATTCAAGACTTAGTAAATCAAACTGAATAAATGTCTGCCTTCCTGCCCTGTCTCAGTCTAAATGCTTAAGTGTGACCAGAAGTAACTTTATTAGCATCATGAGGGTCTGTCAAGATATAAATTATATGGAGGTAAGCGATTTTAGCAGGCAGAGCACTCCCAAAATTGGTTAGCTTAAAAAAGAAATCTCCCTTTAAGATCTTTTCTTTCTTTTTTTTTTCAGATTTTACTTAGTTTTTTTGAGAGGTAGGAAAGGGAGGAAGAAAGAGAGGAAGAGAAACATCAATCAGTTGCCTCTTGCACACCCTCAGTGGGAACCTGGCTCACAACCCAGGCATGTCCCTGATGGGGAATCAAACTGGAGACCTTTTGGTTTGCAGGCCAGCACTCAGTCCACTGAACCAAACCAACCAGGGCTCCCTTTAAGGTCTTGATTTTGCCGTCCAGAACCCAAGCCATGTTTATTCAAACAAAACCTGTGTCTTCCTTCCATGTGAAAAAGTTATAATATTATACTTGCTCCAATTTACTTATACCCCAAGTCCAGACTGAGTTATCTTGTCCCCCCACCCCCCACCATGGAATGTCAACTTAAACTTGATTTCAGATCCCTGCCCCTGGGTAAACCCAGTCATCTGTGTTTCTAGGAGGTCTCCCCTAGGCAGAACCCAGAGAATCTATTTGTTTCTTCCCCTCCAACTCACCTCTCTCTGTCCTTATCAGATGCCTTGGGAGTGGAGCAGGAAGGAAAAATAGATAAAAAGAGGTATTTATCACAGAGACCTGAAAGCTTCTCAACTCTGGAAAATTTGCCAGTTAAGATGCAGTTGGGCTCCAAGGGAAACTGAGAAGGGAAATGGAGGTAGGCAAGGAGAAGATGAATTAGATTTGTATGTGCCAATGTAATAAAACCCAAAGGGGACACAGGAAAGACCTTGGTATGCAAATAGGCCTGGACATTCTTTTCCAGACTCTTCCTCCTCCTCCCTGTCTTCCCTTGTTTGTTTCTTTTTTTTTCTTCCAGAATTTTACAAATATTTTTAGTTTTAATTTTTTATTGTATTTTTCCATCACCACTTAGTCTCCTTATACCCCTGCCCTGCCCCCAAATCACCACACTGTTGTCCATGTCCATGAGTCCTTTTTCCTTTTTACTCAATCCCTCTGTTCCCTAACCCCACTCCAGCCCCTTCACTGTCACCCTGCTCTCTATCCTCCCTCACTTGCTACAACCTGTCAGAATGAAACTGAGGAGCTGAGGAGCCAAGTGCCCTCTACAGGTGTCTTAACATTTGTGATGCACTTTAACCTTTACAGACTCTTTCTCTTCTCACAACCTTTTGGGTAGGTATTATTTGGCACAGATTCTCTGCTTGGTCAAACTTTAGTCAAGTTCCTGAATTTTCTTCTAGGCCCATCTGTCTACTTCTTTGCAAAATCCAGTTTTAGCAATACCCATGCTAAGTCAGTTTAGCAGGAGTGTTCCCTCCTCAATATCTGGTCATCCAGAATGTCTGATCAGGTCCTTCATGCTCCACCATTCCCCAGGTGATGCCTGATCACTCTGGCCTGCCATCAGCAAAAAATCCTGTTAGGATGGTTTATCCAGAATTCCCTTCCTCCCTAATGTGTTCTCTTATTAATATTTTATTCACTGATCCCCTACCTGCTCCTTTGCTATGAATTCCCACTTGCCCATGCTGTACTTGGGAATTGAGCCCAGTTTTATACCTAGGTCTCTTTTCTCCTATTGCAGTAGTCCTGACTAAAATTCCCCTATGGCAATAATCCTGAATAAAAAATAGTCCTAAATAGCTTTTACCATTTCAACTACTGTCTACTTCTGGCTTTTCTTTGACATATTGCCCCTATTTTATAAATGAGGAAAATAAGGCTCAAAGAGGCTGTGACTTGCCTTGGATGACAGAAGCCAGGTATCCTGGGTTGGTATTTTGGCCACCACAATGGCCTCTGGAGAGTGCTCTGCACTTCTGGCCTTCCTTGTATTGAAAAGTGAGAGGTTATTTGCGTTAGGCCAACAAAACACCCCACTCTTACTTTGGTCTAATCTGGAGTGCTTTTTACTCCTCTTCTGTAGATGTGAAACTGAAGTCGAGAGTGTCACCAAACAAAACACATAGCAAACAAAATACACAGCAAGTTAATAGGAAAAATTCATGAGCAAGAACTGACACACACACAAAAATAATTAAGAAGACCAAGTTAGGCCTTGGTGTCTATGAAAATTCTCTTCAGTGATATCCTCCTCCTGTCCTGTCTGGGTGCTCTAGGCCTAAAATCTCTCTTCACTTCTGTGAGTTTCTTGCTCCCAGGAAAGAATGAAGTCAACTCTCCATGCAGAGGTGGAAGGACTAATGGGGGCACCATGCCCCTTCTCTGTGGTATCTGCATTATAACTGGAAGGTCCAGTGTTTGGGCTTCAGTTATAATTGGACTTTGAACTTCAGAAATCAAGTAGCCAACAGGGTGGGGGTTCCTCATGGTCCTCTGAGATGGCACCAGAGTGTTGGGCATCTACTTCTCCTTGGGCAAGGCTACTACTGCCAAGGAATGTGGAAATGTCGACTCCTCATCCTGAACTGCAGTGTCTGAGGGCCTGAGCTCCCTGCTCTGGCACCAGTCACTCCATGGACCCTACACTCAGAATCAAGTCTTCAGGAACCAGAAGCAGGGATTCTCACTGTGCCAAAGGGTTGGGGAAGGTCTCCGTTGTTTTCCTTTGCAGAGCTACACCAACTGCCTTCTCTTACCTCAGAACTCTGTTTGGCATGTCCTGCCAGGAGTTCCTATTCCTTTTATGGTGCCTGTGAATCCCAAAAAGTCAAAATGAAGTGACCTAAGGTCCAACGTCTCCATTATACCCTCATTTTCTTGTGCAGTCACAATTACTTCTACCCAGGTTCTACCCATCCCTGACCCCTCAAGCTACTTTCCCAGGTTGCCATGGCTCTCTGGACCCTGGCCCTGTGCTCCCTTGAGAAACCTACCATCTGGCCAGGGTCTACCATGTGCCTAGCATTAAGCAGATATCCTTAGCCTAACACTCCTTCCCCAAAATCACATACAGGGTATTTCTGATTCCTGCCTCTCACCCCACGTTGTTGCCCCTGCTCCCCATGTTTCTTAGGGACTTCTCAAATCTCACTCCTTTTCCTATTCATACAGTCCCTTCCTTCCACATTCTCCTCTGCCCTGCTTCTGGAACAACCCAGCTTCCTCCCACTATAACAGTCCAAAGCTCCAGTAGCATAGGGGTAGCCCTTAGGGAAGCAGAAGAGGGCCCAGGACCCCATGCCAGAGGGTGGACCACTCATTCCTAGTGTCCCCTGGTTTCTATTTCTTCAGTCCTTCCCTTCCCTCCTCCTACTTGGCTCAGGCTGACCAGGAGCAGAGAAGTGAGTACACAGGTTTTTTTCCTGGTGGGGGAAGGGGGTGGAGATTGATGAAAGAAAAGACGGCAAGGATGATTGGTATGGGGCCCCACCTTCTTTTGTCCTCTTCCCGTGGTACTCTGGTCCCTCAGGGAAATACACCTGTTTCAGTCCAGCAGCTAGTGGGGACAGGTTCACCTCTGCTTCTCACACCACTGCTCCTGCTCAGTGTCAGGGGAACCTGAAGGGCTTTTCTGAAGCTATGAGGGGAGCAAACTGGAGCAGGGTCCCCTCAGTGTTCCTGAGCTGCTTATGTTCCTGCCTCCTTTGGCCAGTGGTCCCAGGTAAGTGATGCCCTTGGAGCAACATTCTAAGGGGAAGGGAGACCATCAGGGAAGCTGGGGCCTGTCAAAAACAAGGAGTGGAATGAGAGAGAGAGCAAGAGAGAAAGAGGTGTGAATGGATGAACAGAGAGGGGCAAGATGAGAGAGAGAGAGGGGAAGAATGCTAGAGAGAGAAAGAACAGATGGAGACTGAACTAAGCAGAGAGCTGTCTCAGAGGCAAGAGTGCCCTGGTTTGGGGAAACCCACTGGGGGAGCTAGCACTTCTTTTGAAGAGAGAAAAAGACAGGCAGAGCTATAGAAAGATGAAGAAAGTGTTGAAGAGAGAAACTGACGCAGGGAAAAAACAGGAAAGCTAAGTAACAGAACCAGGAGAGAAAATTATACAAAGATGTACAGACAGAGGAACAGATGAATGAGAAACATGAATCAAAACAACGTAGACACACAGAGAGGAAAAAAATCAGAGGAGACAGGCAGAACTGAAAGGAAGGGGCAGCCTGGCTGGGAGAAACAAGGTGGGGAGTAGAGGGCTGCTGAGATGAGGGCAGTCAGCTTCTTGTCTCTGACATCTTGTTGGGTAATGTCTTTAGGGCAGGGCTCTTAGCCCTGGTGTTGGCCTGGGCCTCCCCCACACCCCAACCTCCCCTGTGTGTGTGGAGCTAGTGTGGAAGCAAGGCCTTTTGCAGAAGCTTCCCCAGGGTCCCCCACAGGCCTCTCCTCACCACCTCCTAAGCTGCCCCTCTGGCTGTAGGGCCAGGTTTCATTCTGTATTCTGGATATCCCAGTCTTCTGAGGATCTGGGGCTCAGGGGATTGTGAGGGGTCTGGAGATCAAGCCAAAGATATAATCACAGCTCCTTCCTTTTGCTCAAGAAGCCTGGAGAGGCTTCCACCCAATGAATCATTTCTTGGGGAGCAGGCCAGAAGGAACAGGCTCTCTTACAGATAGTAAGGGACACGATCCTGGTGAAGGGGAATATTCTGCCTTTTCTGAAATGTTTAAAGGCTTAGCTAAAAGCAGACATCCCCACCCATTCCCCACCAAGCCTCTTCCTCATTCAGCATACAGAAAACAGCAGCCAGAAGGAACCTTCAGAACCTAACCACTGAGAGTCCTGTCCTAGGGGTAAAATAGATGGATGTGGAAGAAGGTGTGTCCATGGGTCATGACTATGGGTAATGGGAAGAAGGTGGCTTAGAGTTAGGGGCCCTGGGACCCAGTCTCTTGGCTTTGCCACTAACTGATCTGGTTCCTGTGACCAGGTCCTATTGTATCTCTCTCTAGGCCTCAGTTTCCCAACATAAAAAGTGAGATGGTGATTTTCTGTGATTTAAAGTCAACACAAGAAGTGGTACCAGCTCCACACTTAGTCCTGTGTTAGAGCCATCAAGCTCAGGAGAAGCCAGGAAGTCTGTGGAGAGGAGCCCAAAAGGGCAAAAACGGGAGTGGGATTGGACAGGAAACTGAGGTGGGGAGCAATAGCGTGTGAGGGGTAGAAGGACTGTGAAAGCAGAAGGGAGTCCCTGTGATAACCCTGGAGAGGTGCGGGTATGCCCTGCAGTGCTGAGCCCTGTGCTTGGTTGAAGGGGACAAAATGGAGAAGGGCCAGAAAAGGAGGGGTTGTGAGGTGGGAGGAGGCACCCCAAGCATCTGATTGAGCACCAAGAGGACATTGGAAGGAAAAGTAGTCTCCACGGTCCAACCAGTTAGCCGCCCACGTCTTCTAGTGAGAGCTTCTGGGAGGATAGAAAATGGTTGGTACCATTGTCTTGGATCCCTGAGGGAACTTGTGGGTGATTTGACTATATTTGAGTCTAAGCTCTATTTCCACACTTACTTACCAACACCCTTGCCCAGGCCAAAGGGAGAAACCCCAGAGTTTCCACAAATGCACCACAGTGCTAAGGGTGTCCTTAACGAAAAGCCCTGACTCTAGGATATGAAAGGAGAAAAAAAGGGTGAATATAGGTGGGCTGGGCAGGTAGCCAAAGGAACTCAGTGGCTACTGGTGGCTCTCAGCAAGAATGACTCAGACGAAAGCCTGGCAACACTGATTCCATACCCTACAGTGATAAAACTGACTCAAAATGAGCCTCAGTCTCTAATACTATCAGTGACCCAGTAACCAAGGAGCCACCACCCTATGGGGCCACTGGGAGGTTATATGGGACTGTTACAAGTATAGGACGGGAGAGATCCATGGTCATGGGGGCCCCAGAGGGAAGGGTCTCCTGCTCTCCCTTTCCCAGAGAACCCCCAATCTGTCTGTTGGTCTGACAGAGGCCCACTCAACTTGCCACCAAGGCCACCAAAACCCCCCACAAGCCATCTGCAACTACCCTCCCCCAAATTGTCACTGTGCTTGGGGACACCCAAAAGGAGAGAATTTCTGAACAAGAGATGCTCACAAGAGAACTGAGCAAATTTAGGCCAATTGTTCAGCAAAATGTACAGCAAAGAGCAGAAGCTTCAAATCAGAAGATCCCATGTCAGGGTCACCACTTACCAGCCCAGGGTACTTGAGAAAGTTCCCTTTAATTCACTGTTTCCATTGGCAAGTTGAGTCAAATGGGAAGAGGCTGTAGAGAAGATAAAACAAAGTATAAAGTGGAAGAGCCATGAAACCTAGTTTGAGAGAGGAACTGCTCCATTTTAGAACTGGGAGATTGGGGGTGAGGAGGGTGATGGAGCCAGGAATGGGATGGGCACTCTGTCAGCCCAGAGGCATTTCCATTCATCCAAGGATCCATGAGTCTCTAAAAATGAACCCCATCCTTCCTGTGGGTTTGCAAAGGTCAGAAGGTGGCTCATTTTATGAACTGAATGAACACCAGGTCTTCCATCAGTCAGAGGCCCTGCTCTGGCTGACACCACCGCTTCACGGTTTCTTGCCTGGCAACTCCTCCACACCCTTGGTTTCTGGGCTCAGCTCCGGAGGCAGAGGCTATATTGTCTGTGTTTTATGTATGAGTGATTTATGTTTTCCTCTCCAGGAGAGGCCAAGAAGCAGTTGCTTTTTATGTGCTCAAACAACGGGGTTTGCTACTGTGTCTGTTCTCTGGTTTTGTGGAACTGCTGTGCTTCAGAGAGGCATATAATGTAGCCCTCAGAGCCACTTCTCTAAAGACCAGGACTGAAGACATTATAGGCTGTCTCTCCTCCTAGTTCCAACCTTTTGCCTCTGATGTTCATCTTCCTTCCTACTAAACTGAATTCATGGCAAGCAGACACTTAGTCATTATTGTATCCCCATTCCCCAGCATGGTGCTGAGGTGTTGATTTGAAGTGAACTCAATTTATTGGCACTTTATAGAGGTTTAAATACTATGCTTTTTCCTTGAGACTCTAAACAGGTCCCAGGAACTGGGCATCTGTGTGCGTGTGGCCTCTATAACCATGGCCTTGCTCACATGGAGGGCGCTGGCTTGTGCTGCAGGTGGCTCACTACTCCACATGGACATTTTTAAGGTCTATATGACATGTACTCTCTATTTAGGTAACCTCAACCAGAGTGGCAGTTTGAGCTCTAAAAGTCCTGTTGGTGAGTTTGGGGGAATTCAGAATAGGAAAGAGTCTGGAGTTATTCATTCGCTGACCTTCTACTTGTGTCAAGTATTCTGGACACAAAAATGATTAAGTTCAGACCTCCAAATCTTGTTTAAGGTCACATAGCTCATAAAAGGGGCAACTGGGACTAAAATTCAGCCTCCTGAATCCTTGTTCACTGGGTTTGCACTACAGCTCACAACCCCTTACAAACAAACCTCCAAATCAGCTCAGTCCATCAGTGGAGGAAGAACAGAAGCATTTACTTCCCCTGCTGATGTATTCATTTGTTCACTCATTCATGCATTCATTCATCCATATATTTGTTTTTTAAGTATATTTTATTGATTATGCCAGTACAGTTGTCCCATTCTTTTTTTCTCCCTTTTTCCCCCCTCCACCCTGCACCCCCCTCCCACTAGCATTTCCCCCACCTTTGTTCATGTCCATGGGTTTTACATATAACTTCTTTGGCTTCCCCATTTCCTATACTATTCTTAACTTCCACCTATCTATTTTGTATCTATCAATTACACCTTTTATTCCCTGTACTTTTCCCCCCATTCTTCCCCCAACCCCCTTCTCACTGATAACCCTCCATGTGATCTCCATTTCTGTGATTCTGTTCCTGGTCTAGTTGTTTGTTTAGTTTGTTTTTGTTTTTGTTTTTAGGTTCAGTTGTTGATAGTTGTGAGTTTGTTGTCATTTTCCTACATTTGTTAATTAAACTACTATTTAAACAGTACCTACCATGCACCTGACATTGTTCTAGGGCAGCACTGTGTCTGTACACAGAGAGAAATGGAACAGACAAGGCCCAGCCTCTTGGATATAAGATCTACAGAGAGACATAAAATATTTACAGAAAAATTCCCACCTACAAATGTCATGTTATAAGTATTGAATAAAAATTATGACAGTAAACTAGGGAGATTTTGTTTAGATTAGTAAATCTAGGAAGGCCTCTCTGAGGAAGTGCTGTACATATGAACTGAATCCTGAAGGCTAAGTAGTAAGCCAGATGGAGGGGTGGGGTGGAGCAACATGAGCTAGGCAGGGGGAAGGCACCCTGAGTCAAGAAAGAGTTTGACCCTTTGGAAGACTTGAAAGAGGTAAGCAGGTGCTAGATCATGCAGGACCTTATAAACTATGGAATGGGTTGTGAATTTAAGGAACTAAAGTGGACAGACAGGGATGGATTTTAGGTAAAGGAGTAGCATGATTGGATTAGATCCTTGGAATAATTGCTCTGGACACTGTGGAGGGAAACAGATTGGAAGAGGGCAAGAGTGAAATGGCAGACCAGGTAGGAGATGGCTGCAGGGGTTCAGGCAGAAGATGCTGTGGTTTGGCCTTCTGGTAGCAGTGGATATCTGGAAAGGGAATGAACACATATAAAAATAATAGTAAGTGGAAGTTCTCCCTTAATAAGGACACAGTCTCAAGGGTAGCT